CTGGGCACACATCATGTTGGTTAATATAGCAGACAGACGAGCTACAGTAACTAAATTAACAATACTGGAATGGATTTACAGTAGACATACAAGGTTTCCATAAAGCAAACCCTTCCTGATCTACTAAGAATGATGCAATACACACATATCAATAAAACAGTTTTTCCAAAAAAGCCAAAGAAAAAAAACATTCTTCTTTCTACCTTGGCAATTTTGGCTTTATTTCTTCTGTGTTCCCCTTCGTTACCACTGCTCAGGGCTCAAAGTAGATTTACATTCACAGGGATTTGATATGTAAAAAAAATACAGAGATAACCTACATGATTGCCTTGTAATGCAATGGCAATCCAGACCTAAACTGAATGAATATGCTAAATAAAATGTTGACATATTCAGCGGAAACATAGAGCATGGTTTAATCACAATACAAGAATATATTTACATTATATCTAAATAGATAGAAACAAGAACTATGAGAATGAAATATATAAAAGCTCTATGTACTTGTTCACTTGGGTCTTTATCCAGAAATATTGATGAAATATTTTCTTTGGATATAATGTAGGGATTCCTTTTGGTAGAAATTAAAGAAGGTTTAGCATCACCTCTTGTGAGCTGGAATAAATAAAATCTTGATAGTTAGATAGAAGGGATTTTTTTATGCTTGGCAGAGGATGATCTGCCACATATAGTTTATGAAGTAGCGAGATCAGGAAGAGCCATACTGCTAATAGCGAACCATAAGTGTGGAGCGTAAAGCACAGAATGGGAGCTTAACGCACAGAAAGATGCATTTCTGCACACCACAGCTGGAAGATCAGTTTGTTGAGCATGCAGTACTGGACAATTCCGGGTTATTTTCTCCCCTGCCTCTGGAGCCAGTTAGCTGAGGTATATGTCCCACTCTTCCTGCTCTCTCTTGCTAAATGTGGTTTCTCCAGCCTGCATCACATAAATGGGTCAAAAGAAACCAAATTGTTTTGTCATGCACTTTTCTTTTGAATATCCACCATTTATTCAGATTCTACCCACAAAAGCAGTGCTGAAATTGGATGCATATGAAAATAAATAACCATTTTCATATTTGTTTTTAACTGGGTAAACTTCTTCTGTCAGCAAAATCCCTGACCCTGCTGTGGCCTCAGAGTGTGCAAAGCTATTTAAATAACACAAGCACCACATTGATAGAGGCTTACACAAACACCCCCACAAAAACAGATTGAAACTAGAGAACCCATACAAACGTCGTCTTGACAGAATGAAATCACCATGGGTGCTTTCTGTCTCCAAAATTTCAGACTCCATGACTTTAAATGCTCCTGTCTGAGCTGAAGCATTAAGTCTGTGCAAAAGCTGAAGGTACCAAACAACAGATAAACAAAAGCAAATTAAAAATGAGAAGGCTTGCTCCATAAACCTCCTGGAGCAAGCTCAAGTGTCTTCAGTTATTACTTTCAAGCAAGAATTAAAACAGGAGTGTAGCACAAAATTAAAGTGAAAGGAAAGAAACAGAGAAGATAAAGATGTACTAGCAGAAAAGAGGAAGTAAAAAGTAATAAAAAGGATAAAAGCAGTAAGAGTGACCAAAATGCAATGAATTTGATAGAAACTAAGTAGAAGATCTACTTGCGGTACCACCAGTGAAGACAGATTTGGGTTTTTTTGTGCAGATTTTTCAGGCATCTTGTGTTTCAATACACCAGGCTGCTTGGATGGGATGGATCGCTCTGGCACTGACTCTTGAAGCTTCTTATCATGTCTCTGCTGCCTTCAAAGCAGACTGAACTGTGCGCAAAGTAAGCTACACTGAAATTAGTTGTGGGGCCTTATTTTGCACTACACTAGCCAGGTTCGAATTAGAAACAGAAGCTGAGGAGTGTAATATCTCTGGAGAAGTACCCTGGAAAGAAAAAAACTCCAACAATAATTAAAAACTAAGAGGAATATTTAGTCCTTGTTGCTGTCTATTAAAGATGAGCTACCGATAATGGAAGGGTTTGGTCTGATTCATCACCATCCCATGCAACCTCTAAGGAAGTCTGTTTTGGCCCATTCTTTAAAGTCCAAAGAAACTTTTTACATCTGTTTTAGCCTCAGTATTCCTCATCTTTATGGTTTTCCTCCTCTGTATGTCTTCTGATTCACCTCTTGGGTTTAAGAGCCCCTTTAATGAATCCATCTGTTAATTTTTTTCCAAGTGATGTTTTCTTCACTCCCCAACTTTTTTTGATCCATATGAGGTCTACTATGATGTCAACTTTATGCATTTAAACATTTGTTTAGGCCAGTCTTTATCCCAGTTAAATCTACAAACAAATAAATCAGTTAATAATAGACTTATGTCCTATCATATATAATATATAGATGATTTTTTTTTTACATGATTTTAATCCTAGCAAAATGTATTTGGCCTCCAAAACCCTGACAGCAGGGTCCAGACGAGGAAGAAGAGTTGTATTTTAACCTCAATGCAGCTTCTCTACATTGTCTGTCACAGTCTTGGTTTTGTTATGTTTATTTACAGTATTCAGCTTTACTTTGCTTCTTGTTTTAGTGTTTAATTATCATTGTCTTGTTAGTTCCTGTCTTCCAGGTTTTCCATTTGTTGTCCTCTGCTGCCCTGTTGTGTCCTCTTTCCCTAGCTCTGTTTTCTGCTCTGTCCTCACCTGTTTTCAATCCTCTCGTTAGCCCTCTCTTTGTCTCTGTCCCCTTTAAAAGCCCTCCCTCGTCAGTTCCTGTTTGCTGGATCCTCGTCTAACGTCTGTCTGCTTACCTCGTCTTTCCCTGGCTCCTAGAGTTTGGTTTCCCCTGATGTCTCCTTGGTTCTGGTTCGTTGTTATTTTGTTGGATCTTTGATTTCTGCCTCCATACCTGTAAACCTCATTAAACCCACCAAAATTCACCTCTGCCAACTTGCCTCTGCTTTTGGGTCCTCAATCCAACACCAAATCGAGACATTATCCACTGTTTACTCCATCCAGACAGTGTATTGCCCATGACCAAAATCAAATAAATAAGCAGTAAATCATGATCTAATTATAATTAAAAGTATCCCAAAAAGTTAAAACAATTAAGTGTGGGTGGTTTAAAATTAGATAATTAAATGGAGTTATGTTGCCTTACAGAAACTTGGCTGCAGCAAGAGGATTATGTGAGCATAAATGAGACAACTCCCTTGAGTTATTTACATTTTCACAAGTGAGTAGCCACAAAACCTCTTGTTTTTGTAACTTTATATCGTCCACCAGGTCCTTACTCTGCATTTCTAGCTGAGTTATCAGAGCCCCTATATGATTTGGTGTTAAATACTGACAAGGTCATTATAGTGGGGGATTTGATAATCCATGCTGACATTGAAAGTGATAAATTAAATGGAGCCTTTAATGCCATCTTAGACTCGATTGGCTTTGTTCAGATGGACAGAGGACTACTGGGGATCAGAGGAGCGTGCGGCTGGAGTGAGTAGCGCAGCGGGATGAGAGAAGCAGCTAAACCATGTCTGTGCTGGAGATGGGCTACAAAACAGTCTGTCTAGGGCTAAATTAAAACAGCTTTTTAAAAAGCGTGATCTAATGTAAATAAATCTCAACATCACTTAACAAAATAGGTAAAACAACTGTTCTTAACCCATTTTCTTTTTACAATAAAGGCGTCTGTATTGTTGGACGGAGGAGGCAGTGTGAGGCAGCAGTTCCTGTTGCAGAAAATTACACATTGTAGCTTTACGAAACTGTCTCTTAACCCAGACGAATTGGTGAATTATAGAGTTTTAGTCTGGCTTTAGAGCTCATCATAGCACTGAAACAGCTCTGGTGAAAGTCACTAATGATATTTTAATGGCCTCAAAAAATGGATCTGTACTTGTTCACATCTCAGTGCTGCATTTGATACAGCTGATCATAATATTATTTTAGAAAAAAATATATTTTGTAGAAATTGGAGGCCTGCATTAGACAGGTTTAATGTTATTTATCTAAAAGATTTCAGTTTCTTCATGTTAATGAAAACTCTTCCTCATGCTCCAGGGTTACCTGTGGAGTACCACCAGGATCAGTGCTAGGACCAATTCTCTTTACAATATATATGCTCATAATCTGCCAAATTATTAGACAGCATGGGATTAATTTCCACTGTCATTCTGATGATACTCAGCTTTATCCATCTACAATATAAATCCAGATGAAATTAACCCTTTAAATCTGGATGACTCCTAACTTTCTACTTCAAAATGCAGACAAAACAGAAGTTATTGTCTTTGAACCAGAAAACTAATCTTCAAAAAGAAGCTGATTAGACAGTCCCTTCGTTTGGATGGAATTAAGTTAATCTCAGATAATAAACTAAAAAATCTTGGTGTTATTTTTGGGGACCTGTCATTTAAATCCCATATCAAAGAGATTTCTAGAATATCCTTCATTTATCTCCGGAATATTAGAAATATCCTGTCCATGGGTGATGCTGAGAAACTAGTCAAGGCATTTGTTACTTCAATGCTGGACTATTGTAATTCTTTACTATCAGGAAGTCCAAAGCAGTAGTTAAAAGCCTTCAGGTGATCCAAAATGCTGCAAGTTCTGATCAAAATGATAAAGAGACATAATTTCTCTCCTATCCTAACTTCTCTTCATTGGCTTCCTTTTAATAAATCTAGAATAGAATTAAAATTTGTCCTTCTCACTTATAAAGCCTTAAATGGTCAAGTTCTGTCTTATGTTAGATCCCGCAGTATTGGGATTTGTAGAGGGGTTTGATACTTTATTTCTGCTAAGACTTTATCCATTGGCCTGAAATCTTAAGGTTATATGAGTTGGTAAAAGTAATGTCACTAAAGCTACTAATTGTTGAAGCCATGAAAAACGACCTCAGCATTGTTGGGATCTGGAGGTCTGTCCACCTTTCTCCTACAGAGGGCGTTCTAGGTCTCCTGGAGCTGGAGCTGACTTCACACCTGCGGCTCGTTTGCTCATCAGGAGACCAGCATTTAAGGAGAGGCAGAGCAACACTACAGCGCCAGAGTGTTTGCCAGTTATGGTTAGCAAGCCTGAGCCAACCTGCCTGTCTGAATCTCTGACTCCCTGATAACCTGAACCTGAACCTAACCTGTTTTTGTCTTCTCTGCTTCCCAGGAAGAACCTGTCTGAACCCTGAAACTCTAGAAGAGTTTCTCAGTCTGAAACCAGCCTTTCTGATCTCTGAAGAACTCTGGAAGTCAAATCTGTCAGATACCTGCCTGCCCGCTCTCAGAAGAAACTGAAAGAGAAACACAGATCCGAATCTGCAAGATCACAAACCAAGCTCTGCCTCTGCCTTGCCCTCTGCCTGCCGACAGCCTCTGGACCCTCCTGGTTCCCCCCCTCTGCCGCTCTGCTCAAACCTCAGAACAGGTACAGACCTACACTCATTCTACCAGCAAAGATACCTGGACATCTGCTAACCATTCTGTCCCCCTCTGCAGAGAAACCAGTCGTGACCAGTCCTGGACCTGATAACCCCCAGAATCAGTGCTTTATTCTCATTGTGTCAAACAATAAACTGTTGAACTTTTTCCCTGAGTCCGTGTGTTCTGCATGTGGGTTAGAAACCTTAAAACAAACTTGACAAGCATAATGTTGCCATCACCATGCTTGGTGGAGGGGAACACATATAAATATTTTATCATATTGTAGGAGTGAAAATCGATAAAAGAATTTGCAGACTATAACAACCAGCTAGCTATGCCAGGAAACGGAAACACTTTAAATGAATCCTCTCTCACTTATTAGCTCATATGGAACATATAAATCCAATTTTGGATTAGCATTTTTTTTTATTTACAGTTTTATGTTGTATAACAATTTCACCCCTGAAAATAACTACTACATATTTGAATCAATTATTAAAATCCCAAAATGAACACTGTCACAAACTCAAGTCAAAAATTATATTTAACCAGGCTTAGAGACAAGATTCTGAAATTCACTTTTATAAAACATCAAAATAGAGATAGTATATTGCTCCATATGGCAAAATCATTGGCTCATTGCTATCAGCGAGTGTTATAGCAAAGCCAAAAAGTGTGTTAGGCACACCAGCATGATGTGAAAACACTGGGTTATAATAGGATCAAAATTATAGGCAGGCATAATGAAGCCACCACTGTTCTGTTTGCGGGAAACCATGATCTCACCTGACATCCATACTGCAAATTATATCTGGACGTCCAAACCATAATTGAGCCAACATGTAGGTAGAATCTCCATGAAATGTAATAATCAGATATTTTTTCAAAACAAAGCCTTGCAATACAAAGACAAAAAGAGAAAGATGTCAAACTTAAAAAAATTAAAATTGATGTAAATATAAACCTAGAAAATTTTGATTAATATCCAAAGTCCATAGATCGGGCTCATCGCCTGGTGCACATGCACTGAGTGGACGCTGGCGCGTTTTTGCAGCCGCTGCTCTCCGCTACCTGTTTTTAAGTATTTTTCAATGTTTTTACGGAACTTTGGGCCGTGTACTCACATTCAAGTGAGAGCAAAGACACTTGCCTTCGCTTTGATCATCCTAACTCCCGCTGCCATCCCGTTGTTTTTGTGTCTGAGTGTGTTTAACTAACCTCACTCTCCAACTGTTCTCCTGACTCGACGCCGTTGCTGCTGTTGGTTAGCCACCCGCTGCCGTTAACAATGTCAACCTCCAAGTTCTACATCTGGTGTATCCTCCTCTGGACTGTCCTCTCCATTCTACACCGACCTGGGGCTGGTCTGTTCCAGTATTCGGCTGCTGATCTCCTCCTGCTCCGTGGGCTTCTGTCTGCGCCTCCACCGCCAGTTCTCCAGCTACACCCGGAGATCATGCTCCTTCCCCGCCGGAGATACATCCACAGCGGATCCCGTCGGAATTTCCACATCGATGACTCCAATCCAATACCATCATTCTGGTCCACTTCACGCCGCTCTCGCCGATATCCCGGTCGGACCGCTGACTTCAGTTCGCTTGCTAGCCTGGCTAAGGCAGCAAGCCCCGCCTCCGGTCATATCAACTCTCCCGTCAACTTTGGACTCCTGAATATCCGCTCTCTCACAAACAAGGGTCAGCTCATCCAGGATCTCATCAATGACCGTAAGCTGGACTTCCTCTGCCTCACGGAGACGTGGCAACAACCTAAAGACTTCTCCCAGCTCAACGCCTCCTCTCCACCTGGGTTTGTTTACCACTCTCTTCCTCGTGTTTCCGGCCGCGGGGGAGGTCTCGCGTTACTTCATCGCGAGAAGTGGAAGTTGTTGCCTGTTTCTATTCCTGTTTTCCGCTCTATGGAATGCTTTGCATTTGAACTGCCTGGTCCTACTCCAATATTTATTTCCATAGTCTACCGTCCCCCCAAACCACATAGTGACTTTTTAAACGAATTATCCATACTACTTACCCACCTGACTACTCTCTCTCCTAATGTCATTCTCCTCGGTGATTTCAATATCCATATGGACAATGTAAACCTTTCACTCACCAGAGACTTTTCCTCCTGCCTGGACAGTTCTGGATTCCATCAGTATGTTGATTTTCCCACCCATATAAAAGGACATTCACTGGACTTGATTTGCTGCTCTGGTTTAATCCCATCTAACTGTTCTGCTGATGATGTCCATATTTCAGATCACTTTCTTTTATCCTTCAACGTTTCCCTGTCTCTCTCCATAATCAAGCCTGTCTGCCAGATTTCCTTCCGCAATATTAAGAACATAAACACAGACATTTTATCCTCCCACATTGACAATATCCCAATCCCTGCTCTTTCCTCTCCGGACCACCTTGTCACCCACTACAACTCTGGGCTTTCCAATATTCTCAATTCCCTTGCCCCTCTCAAAACCCGGTCTGTATCCTTTTCCCGCTCTGCCCCTTGGTTTAATCCTGAGCTCCGCCTCATGAAAGCCAAAGGTCGGCAACTGGAACGCCTCCACAAAAAAACTGGTCTCTCCATACACAAAGAAATGCATAAAACTCATCTACTTCAATATTCAAATTCAATAGCCATTACTAAATCAAATTACTATTCTGACCTTATCTGTTCCAATGATGGAAATTCCAAGTCTCTCTTTTCCATAATGCATAGGATCTTTGACCCCCCTGACACCCTGCCTTCTTACATGTATTCTACTCAGACCTGTAATTCTTTGTCAACTTTCTTTAATGAAAAAATCTGCTCCATTCACCAGCAATTACATATGACCGCCTTGCCTCCCACTTCCCCTCCGCCCCTCCCCCGTAGCCAGTCATTTTCCTCCTTCCTACTGCCCACTTCTTCTGAAATTTCTGACCTCATTCAAAAATCCAAGTCCTCTACCTGTTCTCTTGACCCCCTCCCCACGGCTCTGGTCAAAACCTGTCTTACCTCCCTCCTCCCCTTCATTACTTCCATTATTCATTCTTCACTCTCTTCTGGTATTGTTCCTTCACTTTTCAAAACTGCATCTGACTCCCCGATTCTGAAAAAACCTGGTTCTGATCCCACTAACTTTAATAATCTTCGTCCCATTTCTAATCTTCCCTTTATCTCTAAAATACTTGAAAAAACTGTGTCTGCTCAACTCCACACCTTTCTTACCCTCAACAGTCTTTACGAACCTTTCCAGTCTGGTTTTCGCCCCTCTCATAGCACTGAAACTGCCCTAATAAAAATCACAAACGATCTCCTTATAGCTGCTGACTCCGGACTCCTCTCCATCCTCATCCTTCTCGATCTCAGTGCAGCCTTTGATACCATTTCTCATCCCATTCTCCTCAATAGATTATCCTCTCTTGGCATCTCTCACATCCCTCTTGAATGGTTCCGCTCATATCTCTCCGACCGCACTCAGTTTATTCAGCTCAAATCTTTCACTTCGCACCCTTCCCCTGTCACTTCTGGTGTTCCTCAAGGCTCAGTTCTTGGCCCCCTCCTCTTCATCACCTACCTTCTTCCCCTTGGCAGTATTTTCCGGAAATTCAACATTCACTTTCACTGTTATGCGGATGACACCCAGCTTTATTTATCCAGTAAACCCACTTCCTCTCTCCCCCCCTTGTCCCTTACTAACTGCCTACTTGAAATTAAAGACTGGTTCACCTCAAACTTCCTTAAACTAAACAGTGATAAAACAGAACTCCTCCTCGTTGCCACTAAATCCACCCTATCAAAAATCAAAAGTTTCTCACTACCCATTGACAACTCCTTAGTCTCCCCCTCCCCTCAGGTCAAGAGTCTGGGTGTCATCCTCGACTCCTCCCTCTCCTTTCAGTCTCACATAAATAAAATTACCAGGTCTGCATACTTCCACCTTCGCAACATTAACCGTCTCCGTTCCTCCCTCACCACTCATACTGCCTCTGTCCTTATCCACAGCCTCATCACCTCCCGTATTGATTATTGCAATTCTCTTCTTTTTGGCCTCCCTGATAAATCTCTCCATAAACTTCTACTTCTTCAGAACTCAGCAGCTCGTGTCATCACCAGAACCCCCTCCTTCCATCATATTTCCCCTGTTCTTCACCAACTCCATTGGCCCCCAGTTCAATTCAGAATTCAATTCAAAATCCTTCTCTATACTTTCAAAGCCATCCATAACCTTGCTCCTTCATATCTGTCAGACCTCCTTCACATTGCCACCTCCTCCCGCTCCCTTAGATCCTCCTCCTCCATCCACCTCACTGTACCCCCAGCTCGACTTGTCACCATGGGGAGCAGAGCCTTCAGCCGCTCTGCTCCCCAGCTCTGGAACTCACTTCCTCCCGACCTCCGCAGTATTGACTCTCTCCCCTTATTCAAAGCCAGACTCAAGTTCCAGCTCGCTTATCTGTGAATACACTGCTCTTTTCCCTATCCATAATTATTTCTTGTTCTCTGTTTTTATGTTCCTGTATCTGTATTTTGTATTTCCATCTCTTTTTATTTTTTTTTTTTGTATTATTTGTAAAGTGACCTTGAGTGTCAAGAAAGGCGCTGTTAAATAAAATGTATTATTATTATTATTAGATATCTATTAAATCAATAAGTGTCATTATGGATAGACAGTATGTCCATAGAAACTGCATGATGCAACAATGTCAATATCGAACACATTTCTTAGAGATACTTAAAAAACATTTTGATTAAATTTGATAAAAAAAAAAAAAAAGAAGTTTTCTAGGCACAATGAGGTTCTACTGGCCAGTATAACCATACTGTATCCAATAAAGGAGATTATTCTGTATATAGTACAGCACTTAATTGTCAATAAAATCAAAATTTTACTGGAATGATTCGCAAACTGCACAAACGTCCACATGGGGATCTAATTAGTATCATCTTTTACCATAGTATTTAATTCAAACTGCCTGGAAATGTATTTTCTGTAAACCAGAAAAGTGTGGAAAAAAAGGCCACATGCCCTTGGGAGATTCTGTCTTTCACAAGAGATAAATCACATTGAGAAAACAAAATTACAGACTTCAGAAGCAATACATGACCTGCCTTGAAACCCACTTACCAAGAGGACAGCATTAAGTTTACATTTTAAGGGTGAAATGTGCCTCCTACACAGGTGA